TTCCTAACTGTTGCTCTGATCAAATTTTTTTCAACGTTTGAGAAAAAACGACATTTTGAATATTTAAACACACTATTAAAGGTGAATGCAAGCAGCGCAGCCATGCAGTCAGATCCCAGCATGCAATATAAAAAAACAACAAATAAATAAATAAATCATAAATTAAAAATAATAATTATAAAAGAGGCGGGCACTAATTTTGGACCAGTTAATATATATTTAATCTTATATATATGGGTTACAAACCTAGAATTTGGGTATTGGATCTTTTGGCATTTAGGATGTTTTTAAGTACAGAAAAGTAAATTAATGGATCAATAAATCAACCAACAGCAACACCAATACACAAAAATACTAAAATACAAAAATAATAATAATTTAGAAAGTGCATTTAATAGATATTAAAAGGGAATCAATCTAGAATATTGAGTGATAAATAAATAAATAAAAAAGAAACAAACAAATACACATATATATAGCTATTCTACACGTCTAAAACACTGGTTAAACAACTACTGTTGGTCAGCAAACTTTACCCCTTACTCAACACCACCCCCTCCTCTGTATCGTTGCTGCAAACGAATGAATCAGGCGACAAGTGAAATGAGCAGTCTTAATTAGAGCACGGTCTTCCCTGAGTGAGACCAGTACAGATTCAGCCTTGCCAAATTAAATCCATTAGTCTGTGAGAGGCTGTGGAGACTCGGGTGTGCAGGCCCCGCTGCTTATTTTGTGGTCATTTATTGCTTGTCTTCGAGTACGCTACGTTGGTTCCATTTGAAGGCCCCTCTCCTCTAGCGCCTGCACCTGGGGCCATGCATATGCCAATTTTGCTATTTGCTTACGAAATAATGCCAGGAGCGCATTATTTATGATGCAAAACTTATGGTAAACTGCAATCCGCCGTGGGTGCGCTGCTTGGTTTGCTTTATGACCAAACCACACTACCCTTCGTTAATAGTCGTACTTTTTTTTTTTTTTTGCAAAACACATCAAAGCCTGGTTTAAGTGGATTTGTGTTCGTGCGCCCTGCGTAATTTAAGTGCGTAAAACAGAAATAAAATTGCGCATGGATCCTTGATGAGGCTTTGCTTACTGCATTTATTTATTTATTTTATTTTTTTTTATTATGGTTTAGAGATCTATAACATGCAAAGTTCCTGCATGGGGGCCAAAGCAAAATTTTGCACAAACAGTTTACACAAGTTATTAAAGAAATCAGTTTGTTGTTTGTTCATTTATTGATCAGTTTTCACAGCTAATTTATAAATATAACATTACTCTACAGACATAAGAGACAGATTACAACAAATTTTTGTTTGGATGTTTTTAACACCTGCGTTTCTTTAAAAGATACCTAGGTAATTTTGCTTTTTTTTTTTCTGGAGGGGGGTAAGGGGGTTGATGACATCACTGTACATTGAAATAAGGCTATTAATCTGGCATTAGTACTATGGACAGAATACATGTGAAGGCAGAATTTGATACAGTTTGCTGAAAATAAAGAGGACAATTTAGAGAATACAAGAAGAGCCATTGTGCCTTGTGTGATGTCTCCAGTGCCACTGACAGCTTCTTTTGGGAGGGAAGATTTTAGCTTTACAATACAAATGTTTAGGAAACCATCAATTCTTTAAAGTTTTAGTATAGGCCAACATATGGAGAAGTTTTTACACTAAATTTGTTCATTCTTGATAAGTCTAGCAGATTTGAAATTTAGAGAATAATAAATTGTGAGGCCCAATAAAGCAACTTAGTTGTTTTTTGCCTTGGGCTGGCCCCTGCATTGACCCACATTATGGTGACAGCTGAGCTGCGGTGTGCGATCGGGCCTCTTCCCGCCCCTCTCTGGTCAGAGATGGGGATAGTGTAGACGCCTGTGGCTTTGCACTGTGGAAGAAAAGAGGACACGTTGTTTAAGTCCGTCCCGGTCCCAGAGAATCCACGGAGTTTAGCCCACTAAAGCTGTCAAGGGGACCGCAAACGCAGCTCTTGCATGACCCCTGTCTCTGCAAGATCTATGTGTTAACTCTTAGATATGATTAACACATGAGGCCAAATATTCTGATTTAAGGAAAGAATATATAAGAAGGATCACTCAAAAGTCTAACTTGTCTTGGTTTATTATAAATCTGTCCCCTTAACACCATACTATAAATCATTGAATCCATGTTAAAGCTGCCCGTCCTGTTAACCCCAACACAACCTAACGTGATGCAGGTTTCACTCCTTAATGTAAATACTCTCAATTTTCACTCATCCCATAGTAGACAGTGGGTGTCATGGGGATCTCTGGGCCTGATCCGGCCCCAGTAGACATACAAAAAGATTTTACTTTAAGAGTCATTCATCAGCGTTTGCAGAAGACAGCTGGATATGAAGACCACTTCTGCTGAACCACTGGGGGGCATTGATTGTAAGGTCAATCATCTGCGGGTGATTTTTAGATCTACAGCAGCTGATTTTGTGATTGACACTCTGAAGTTGCAAAATGTTAAATAATGTCTCTCCGTGGAGGATGCTGTGAGCTGTTCAGCGCAGGATCATGAGAAATATAGCACCAGGAGGCAGGAGAAGGCAGGTGAAGCGTGGACCGAGAGGAAACAGTGGTGCCACTAAGGGTTAGGGCGGGAGGGCTTGCTATAGCACAGGGCCTTGTGTCAGATATTTATAAAGGCCTTATACCATAAGATAACTACATTGGAGTGCACCTGTCAATGAACCACAACCTCTTATTATGTATTAGGTTATCTATCTTTATGGAACACGCTGTTCATTTTGAACTTCATATTGTGCTATTAAACAGCAGAAATAAAAAAAAGAACCTATACAATGAGGTGAAGAGTGAAATAGTCACTAGTGTAAATGCATATTCCTAATTTTCAGTATTATATGGCTTTTGGCTTTTCTGTGCAAATCTTAGACACTCAGTCATTTCCAAAGCTTTCTGCAGCCACACATAAATAAAATTCTGTCTTTACTTTCAAATAATATGGACTAATAATATTAATAATAATAGTAATATAAAAATGTATTATTGAAGTTATTATTTTTGTTAGTATTGATATTATTAGTAGTATTCTTGTTGTTATTTTTATAGTAATACAAATAATAATGCTATTATTTCAACGCTGATTTCAATTTAGATTTAGATTGGAATAAGTCCTATATTAGTCAACATCTACGCAACAAGGTCGAGAAGCCTCTGATGTTAAAGACAATTAGTCCTTTCATCACTTCAATCTTAATCCCGGTGTTGACAGTTGACAAAATCTGGCAATGCAATCGAGCAATGCAATAATCCCGCCTGGTCAGCAGGTATGGAGGGGAAAAAAGGAAGAAGGAAAAAAAAGGGATGGGGATGTCTCGTATAATCATCGAACCCCGTGTTTTTTTAAACCCACAGGGAAGCAAGCAACATCGCTGCAAAGCATGTCTTTGTAGTAGCACTCAAAAGGCGATTAGAAAGGCCGGAGGATCTGGTTTCTCCTCTGCGTGTCCAAGTGGAACACGGGCACTGGGGGGAATTGGCCCCAGTGTTAGATCACTGATGGGTGACCGAGGCGTGCAGACTTCTACAAGGCCGGTGTGGCTTTGCAAGTCCGAATTGTCAAATGCAATCTAATAATATATCAGTATAATTAGACGTTAAACAAAGAAAAACTCCAATATTAAGGTCTTACCTGCAGCCCTCTGGAGTTGCTGAATTAAAAGGAAATGAATATAAAATAAATAAAACAAATAACAGCAAACAGATCCATCTGCGTGTCCTCTGCTCGCTTGGTCGCCTGCGCGCTTCTCTGTGGCTCCGCTGCGCTCCGACAAAATGATTATCCGGCTGGCTTGCGCACTTTTTAAATCCCACAAAGTAAATAACAACCGTAGCATGACGATAATAGCAAGGTACCAAGTTCTTGTTTCAGTTAGAGGGGAGAAAAAAAAGGAGAAAATTGAAACTAAACGCTGCATTTAGACAACCATTTTTGATAAGAGGATAATTGAGGCCACACTGGCGTATAATTAGGGGATAATTTATGCTATATCCACTTTTATTCCACCCTCCCCAAAATAAATCCATGTCCATAATCATTACAGGCGAATTGTTCTTAATTTTATAGCTGCAATTTGAGTAAAGTGTGGCCCGCTAATCAAATAGGTTTTCGCAGTAACTTGATTGCTGGCGTAATTATTTTTTCATCACCATTTTTTCCTTTTGCTCCTTCTGAAATCATAAATGCAGAAAAAAAAATAACGAGAGTGGTAAAACAAAAAAAGAAATAATTGAAATATCACCACTTCATATATATATATATATATATATATATATATATATATATATATATATATATATTGAGGACCTTACCGGGCCTCATGTTACAGCCTGATGAAAGACACTGTCAGTTTATCTGTATCCAGCTTTCTATTTTGCAAAAATAACCAATTGTACATCAGGCATATTGTTGTTTGATGTGTCACATGTGCTGCATTTTGAATCAATTGAGGGATCTTTAATCATATGGTCAGCACCTCCTGTTATAATATATGTAACCTGGGGGGGCTCTCATTTTTAGACATCAAAGGAGACTCATGTAAACCCAGAAAGAAATTAATGAATAAATAATGATAATTATATTTCCATTGGAAATAAAAAAAAAATCCCCTTTTAGTTTTAATATTGTTCTCTGTAGGTACTGTTTTTTTTCTTGCACCTTGAAATAAGGTGACGCTTTCTCGTATTTAATTAGTTCCTAGATCAAAGGGGAAGTAACTGTGAGGGAGACATACATTCTCCTACCTCATCTGACTTTACTTAAAGTGCACTCACTGTTACGCGTCGTGCGTAATTTCCAGCTTACGATGCCAAAGAAAAAAGATCCACTCTGCGCATCCACCGGGGCCGTTTTTTTTTTCTTTTTTTTTTCTTAAACTTGTCTATAGGAATTAGGCGTCTTTCCCCACCACATATTGTTTTCTCCCCCCGCATTTGTGGTGGGAGCTGGTAAGGTGGGTTAACTCTAGCTCAAGTCTCCGTAAAAGCGCAGAGCACTGATGACGTTGGGCCGGATGACCAATCGGGAGGCGCTGCCCTTTGGAGACAAACCATTTTACTTGTAGTGTCTGCATCAAGTCTGCAAGCGAGGGCTCAATTTTAACAGAATCCACCTTAAAATCTCTCCCTTAACTTATGCCTACCTTCTGCCACTTTGAGTGAGAATACCGCAGTATAAGAGAGGTGGGGGGGATAAACACGGCATCGGGAAATTTGGGGTGTTAATAGGAGAACCGGGTGGGGGGGAGGAAGAGACAACAGCACAGCGAGAGAGCGAAAAAACGATTTGGTCTTGAGAGAGGAGGGGGTGGGGGGGTGAGCGCTCTCAAGGCAGAAAATTCGATGATGACCATGACAACGATGGCTGACGGTCTGGAGGCTCAGGACTCGTCCAAGTCTGCGTTCATGGAGTTTGGGCAGCAGTCGCACTCGCAGCAGAGCTCCCCGTCCATGGCCGGCGGCCACTACCCGCTGCACTGCCTCCACTCCGGCTCTCACGCCCACCACCAACACGACAGCAGCGCTTACCCCGGGACCAACACCTATAACAGGTCGCTACCTTATCCTTACGTGAGCCATCCGCACCACAGCCCCTACCTGCCCTCCTATCACAACAACGCGGGAGGACAGACGCGGCTAGACGGCGCAGGTAAGAGACCCCCTCCAGCCTTGTTCAGCTGCAATTAAATGCATACCTGTTTTGTGCTCTTTGCGGCCCGGATCGAACCTTAATATCTCACTGATCCAACGCCTGGGGCGAGCTTTCCCCCCCCCCCCCCCCCCCCCCCCCTTCCTTCCGTGCGTAAAAACGCTCCGGGTAAAAATCCAGGAGCAACCTTGTTCGCCTGCTTCTTTGTTGCTTATTTGTGTTTTTTCCAGCACTCCCCTCCACAAAACCTCTGATTTAATGCACTGGGTGTGATCATCTCGACCACGCAATCCTCACCAACTACTCGTGAAAATTAGGCAGCCTGCACGCCTCGAATGTTGTAATTAGCATTTAATTGACATGTCATTACCAGCAATATCCTAAATATGACAGCGCATGAGGATTGTGGCTGCAGGAAAACCAGAGAATAGAGAGGGAGAGATGTCAATGTTTTATCATCTTCATTAATTTTCATTTTTTCCTCTGCTTCTATTCTTTGTAAATCGGATAATCCAAAGTATTTATTTTAAGTATAATGGTATTGTTGTGTGGCTTTTCTGGATTAATAGCATTGCTTGTTTTTGTTGCAGAGCAGCAGAAGACGACAGTGATTGAAAACGGAGAGATTCGGTTTAACGGGAAGGGCAAAAAGATACGCAAGCCGCGGACCATCTATTCCAGTTTGCAGCTCCAGGCGCTGAACCACCGTTTCCAGCAAACCCAGTACCTCGCCTTGCCCGAGCGGGCTGAGCTGGCCGCCTCTCTGGGACTGACGCAAACACAAGTAGGGCGCAAATTTTTGCATTTACTATCATTTGTAGCAGCAGCTTTTGCATGAAAGGCCTATCTTTTTACAGCCTCTCACACAACTTCATCCACTTATCCAAAAAAGAATAAATGTTAAAAAGAAAAAATGGATTAATATTAACTGATCAAGTAAGGGTTTTGTCAATTTTCTAGTCTTAATCAAATGCTAGTATTATAACAACAGATTATTCAAACTGAACCTTCTTTTTCATGTTTAAAAAAATAAAAATATATATATATTTTTTTGTTATAATGCCATAGTGATTAAATTGTGCCATGAAAAGTGTAAATTAGGTACAATTGGTCAAATCCAGTTCTGACCTTATATTGCTATTCCTACACAGCTCCCAAATCATAACAAAGAGTTAGAAATCCTGTTTGAGGCATCCCACCTGATTTGCAGCCCTGGGCAGAGAGCCATACCCCTAAACCAAAACCACTGCTGATAATTTGCAATAATGACTAAATTAAATGTCCTTTTTTTCCCTAACAGGTAAAGATCTGGTTTCAAAACAAGAGGTCGAAATTCAAGAAGCTGCTAAAACAAGGTAGCAACCCGCACGAGAGTGACCCCATCCCGGGCTCCATGTCCCTATCCCCGCGCTCCCCGACCATCCCTCCGATCTGGGACGTCTCGGCCTCTTCCAAAGGAGTAAACATGCCGGCCAACAGCTACATGCCCGGCTACTCTCACTGGTACTCGTCTCCACATCAAGATTCAATGCAGAGATAGACTGGCGAGGCCCAAACAGAGGGCTCAGTAAAAAAAAAAAAAAGCTATCTGCATGGAGGCCCTTTTCTGCAGGATCCTATCCCCGTGCAGTACTTTTTTTCCGCAAGGTAGCCTACAATTTGGACCCTGCAGAGGAGCAAGAAGGTGCTGCTCATCTACAGGAGGATTTAAACCAGCCAAGCCTTGGTGCGGGTACACAAACAAGGGGACTTCTCGTTGTTTCAAGCGTACGTGGCTGTTCAGTGCGCACGTTTTTGTCATGCTTTCATTCATGTCTACATCTGAATATACCAAATATTAGTGACATTTTTTGGGCATGAGAGGCAAAGACTGTCCCCTACCCGTGCGCCATTACGCAAAGAAAGCCCTTTTCTTTAGCACCCACGGACTGCATTTTATTTGATTTTCCAACATGCAAAACAAGCAAAATTGTCTGTAAATATATTCTACGACTTTAGTTGTACATACACTTTTTATGTTTTGTCAGAATGAGTAAAACCGTGACTCTAAACAAGACGCCTTCTGTTTGCATGATTTTCAGCAAGAAAAACAAAATGGCATTCATGTGAGGCCTTTTTAGTCATTTTTATATTGGGCCAACATCACATCAGTGCATCACTAATGACGCATTAAAGTTTATTAGACGGTGCTCAAAAAATAAAACATTTCATCAAGCATTTTAGATCCACCATTGGTTAGGATGAAACGCCAGAATATAGAATCAAATGCACTCACTCAACGCCAGAGGAAATGAACTTACCCCCGAAAGACATTTGCTCCAGGTCCAGCTCATCTCGTCGCTTCACCCACAATTATTAGAAGTATTGACAAAATGTTTTCTCCCTTCCCTCCGTCCTAAAATGCCAAGCTCCACGGGGATCGATGCTTGAACAAAGCAGCCAGCTGCAGCAGCGTTCAATATGAAGGAGATATTTGGGACAATTTGTGCGTTTTTATCCAAGTGAGCCCTTTTTCTCTCTTTTTTTTTACCACCCCTCCATTCTCATAAATGCAGGCATAATTAGGGTAATTTTTGATGTAGCCCCGCTGATTACAGCGTTTTTACCGTCAAAGATAATTACCTGTAATTTTCTACCACTTTTAATACTAAAAAGCCATCTTTATTTGGATTTGAGGTAGCAACGGATGGAACAAAAGGGGGGGAAATTATTCGGTTATTCATATACAAATTGTCAGAGAGAGGAGAAGGCGCACGGCTCGGGGTATTATCTGAAATTACGACTTCAGAAAAAAAAAGGCTCCGTGCAGCTGTCAAAGTCGCGGATGTCCCACACACCCATTCTGCTTCTTTTTACCTGCATGGTGGCCCCCACGGTTAGGTACGGAGGCCCTCTGTATAACCGGGCTGCAGGGAGCCAGTAGCTGCGGTTGAGTAAACATCAACACAGCTCATAAAGATGGAGTTTGGCACAATGAGGAGAATGCAAAAAACTGTTTGTAGAGAAATGGATGTGTTGCACAATGTTTTGCTTATAGATAGATAGATAGATAGATAGATAGATAGATAGATAGATAGATAGATAGATAGATAGATAGATAGATAGATAGATAGATAGATAGATAGATAGATAGATAGATAGATAGATAGATAGATAGATAGATAGATAGATAGATAGATAGATAGATAGATAGATAGATAGATAGATAGATAGATAGATAGATAGATAAATAGATAGATAGATAGATAGATAGATAGATAGATAGATAGATAGATAGATAGATAGATAGATAGATAGATAGATAGATAGATAGATAGATAGATAGATAGATAGATAGATAGATAGATAGATAGATAGATAGATAGATAGATAGATAGATAGATAGATAGATAGATAGATAGATAGATAGATAGATAGATAGATAGATAGATAGATAGATAGATAGATAGATAGATAGATAGATAGATAGATAGATAGATAGATAGATAGATAGATAGATAGATAGATAGAGGAATGAGGGTGCAGTCGATGGGGGTGTGGTTGCAGAGAATAATGTGTCACATGCACCTGCACCTCCAGCAGCAGCTAATGCATTATGTCTCAAAAATTTGAAACTGGAAATCACTGTACTTTTACAAAGGGATACACAATCTAAATGCCCAATCTAATATATATATTAAAAAATACAATAAAATGAAAAGAGTCATATTTTCATATAGAGTCGTGTTTTCCTAATAGAGCTATGAAACCTCGCTTGGTTCTCACAATGAGTCTAAACGACCAGGGAAGCTGCAAAGTTGACGCTTACCTTTCCTCGCTTGTATCCAACACCAAAATAAAACAGGCTCCCGCACCGCGCTGCTTTACCGCTGCTGGTTGAATAAGCAAAATCCAGGTGGGAAAGTGTGTTTGCACACCCTGGTAAGCTCTTATATATATTGCCTGCAAAATTAGCTGTTATTACTGTCACTGTTTAGTGATGGCGAGCTCGGAAAAAAAAGAGAGCCCTCTCTGCAATCAAGAACCAAGCGCATCTTTGCAAATTATAGGTAATTGTCAATGTCCAGATTATGATAATGGAGGCCCCCCTAATCCTGCAGAATAATTATTGTGGAGTGTTACAGTTGAAGCTGTCCAGTAAAGCTTAACTGTCATTATTTAGACTCGATTTGCAAAAACTGTGATGGGGGGGGGGGGGGGGGGGGGGGATGGGGGGGGGGGACGGTAGGGTGGGGGTCTAGCTGAGTGGAAAATGTTCGGTTGGAAATAAACGGGGGAGCTCTCTCGGTGTAATGGCACCTCTAGTTTGTGCGCGTGACAGATAACATTTTTGTGTGTTTGTGTTTGAACAGAAACAGCAGTGCACATGAAATTGTGCGCGTACACAAAACGTGCACGTTGGGTTTAAATTTCTGGAGTTAGCCTCTCTGCAAATTTGTTGGTGACGCTCCATCTGACCTGCAGCAGCAATAAGGGCAACCGAAAAGCGCACTGGGGCTTTGGATTAAGGGAAGCATTGTCTGCAGCATGTTGCATCAGTGGTCCTGTGTGCGCCTGCAGGCCGCAATCGCTGAAGAGATTGTGTGTCAGATGGAACATGCATAGGTCAATGTTCTGGTCATATCAGCGTGTGCGTAATGCATCATGTTCACCTGCACAAGCTCATCCATGGTATCATTCTGCACATGTCCCCTTAAATTCAACCATATGCACCAACCTTCATCCCTTCTCATGCAAACACCAGTGGTATTACTCTAAGTTAATAAAAAAATTATGATCATATATCTTTCCCCTTTTCATACTTCTTTCTTCCTCCCCCCGGAAGGTGGGCTTATGTCCGCGGGAGTGGCGAAGCGCTGGAGCCGCTCTACCCCCACAGGAATGCGGATTGTCTCAGATCTCCGTGCCGCCCCCTTCTCCCCTCGCCTCCTCTCTGCCATTCAAAGCGAGCGTAATTGTAGGGGAACACAAAGCGAGAGCAGCCGCAGACGGTCTGCAGCAACGAGCGGGCACTTTAACATGGGAACTGGAAAGAACTCCAATAAGTCCTAATTAGCTTCTATACTAAGACACAATAAGAAAAGGAATCATAGATAGACTGATAATAATAATAATAATAATAATAATAATAATAATAATAATAATAATAATAATAATAATAATAATAATAATAATAATAATAATAATAATAATAATAATAATTGGATTTCCTTACAATAATCGTCTATAATTAATACAAGTCATGCAAATTAAAGCATTATAATTCCCATATCTGTTATGGAAACATCAAATTCTGCAAGAATTACCGAGCTGCTTTAAAAATCCTTAAAGAACAATCCTTCCGAAAGAATCTGTTTGTCCTCTCTGACTTATTTCTAAAGAAGTTTTTTCAATTTTTTCATAAAGGCGCAACCAAATTTCCAAGAAAAAGCATTGTTGTTTTCTGGCTAAAAGGGTCATATATGTCAAAGAAAGCATCTAATTTAGTTCAGAGACATTAACGCACTTATCGTCAATATGATAAATACAGCAGCCTTTCATGGAACAAAATAATTTGGATTCAATAAATAAAGAGCACATTTGGTGCAGGTGTTACTCATCTTAATGCAGTTTAGTTAAGCCAGAGGTCTAATTAGGAGCAGGACTTATTTCAGATTTTTTTGTTTAGTTCGTTTGTTTCATTTAGTTTGAATATACCAGCTTTGAGAAGAAGAAAAAAAGAAGATACTGAAGGGATCTGGTTGCAAATCTCCATTGTCCATTTAAACGTTTAATATTCTTCCAAAATGCAATAAATTACATGCACACATTTACACATTTTACACGTTTCCTCTATGACTGCCATCAAATACATTGCATAATTCCTCTGAAATTTGAACACGAGTCCCAATAATAAGGAAAGAAAAAAAACAATGATAAAAAACCAACAGGAGAGGTTCTTTTGTTTGTTTTTCTTTTCAATATAACGTCCCAGCTCCAAGGGCCAACGAGTGCTGTATCGAGTTCGGTGTCTGAAGGTGGGGGGGCAGGGAACTCCCGGCTGAGGAGTACCAATTAGAGGTGTTGTCCAGAAAGTTAGAGGCCGCCGCGTTGATGCTCTGCGGCTGTAAGCTGTGAGACCTGGAGGGGCCTTGCGCGTCCCACACGGCCGGGGACTGCGGCGAGTTGCAGGCCATGAGGTCGCTTGAGCTGGGGCTATGCTCTGGAGGAAGCTCGCCGTTTTTCATGATCTTCTTCATCTTCGATCTTCTGTTTTGGAACCAAATCTTGACCTAAGAATTGGATTAAAATTTGAAAAAAAAGCATGTTAACATAATACCGTGAAGTTGTTTCATTTTTGTTTTTGTTTGGGTTGGTGTAGTATATTTACGCATGGTGCGTAAAAGTAAAACATATGCAGCAAAAAAGGCAGAAATGTTTTTCTTACTCAAGATAATCAAACCATTTTTATTGATTAATTAAAAAAATTAAATTAAATAAAACCCCACCTGGGTTTGAGTGAGTCCCAGTGATGCTGCAAGCTCGGCTCTCTCAGGCAGCGCCAGATACTGTGTGTTCTGAAATCTCCTCTGTAGGGCGGCCAGCTGGAAGCTGGAATAAATGGTCCGGGGTTTTCTCACTTTCTTCGGCTTCCCATTCACCATCCTCACCTCAGGTTCGCTTATGTCTTTTTCTGATATAGATAAGCAAAAACAAGGATGTAAATCACCAGATAGGAACAAATTTAAATTGTGTTTTATTTTTCAGCATCATCTAAAAAAACATTTATTCTCATATTTTGTATCCATCTTTATTTAACGTGGCTTTAAATCAATGTAAAATCAGAAATCAACAGTTTTTGCTTGTAATTATATGGGTAATTTTGGAAGGAATACGCAGGAATTTTACATTTTACATACATATATACACACACACATTATATATATATATATATATATATATATATATATATATATATATATATATATATATATATATATATATATATATATATATATATATATATATATATATATATATATATATATATATATATATATATATATATATA